GGCACGCACCTAGAGAGGGGCAGAAAAAACCGTGAAAGCTTTCGGGTCCAAGGATGAGGGTTTATGGTTGTGGGCTGGGAGGAATTAAGCGCCGTAAGGGTTTAAGCTGAAGGATGCATTTTGGGCTTGAAGGGTTTCGGGTGGGGTTTGGAGTTGATGGCGCTAAGACTGCAAGATTCTGGTTTGAATCGTTTTTGAGTGGCTCAATGCTTCAAGGGTCTTGGGTCTGGGCTCTGGGTGGAAGCTGGCTGAGCTGTAGGATGACGGCCTTGTCGGAGCTTCACGAAGTATGTGAACAGTGTGGTCCTTGGCCCTTGGCGTTCATACCACAGAACTTGACTGTCTCATGCCATCTTCATGATTAGCTGTGACGCGCTCGTCCATCCGTGCATAACTGGCTGGCTGCTACAGATGTTATTGGTCTGGTATAATAGTACTGGACTGGAATCGAAACATAAGACTCGTCATCGGCATCATCTTCGTCGTCGTCCTCATGCCCAAGCTCCTCCCCTGGCGCTCAATGCTAACTCGCTGTTACTCATCACACGATCAGAAGTACCCCAACATTGATATCCGGCTGTTGCCGTAGAAATCCTCAAAAGATGCCATCATTACCAGTATCATAGTCATCATCATAACCATCACCATCTTGATCACCATCATCAGCGCCTTACCCCTTATGCTGGATGTACTGCACGTGGTCACGTTTACGGCTCTCGACAACCACACCCTGAACCCTAAATCCTCAATGCTTGCGAAATGCTCCTCTAGAGCAAAATCCTTCATGGCTGCCATTTCCAAGCTCCCTTTTGGCCCGAACCCTGAAACCCAAAAGCCCTGAAGCCCTCAGAAACGGACTTTGAGACTTTGAGCCTGCTCGGTCCTCCTGCGTTCTCCCTGAAGAGAGGGCAGAAGCGAACCGAGCCACAGCTGCGGCAGATTGGTCGGACAAAGAGATACAAAGAGTCTTTTGAGGGCTGCCGGAAAGGTTTAAACTAAAAACGGTTGATAAGTAAGGGGCTTACAGGACTACATAGTTTTGCCATGGGGTATGTTGCGGCAAGGGGCTACAGCTTCTTGAGAGGTTCGCGCTTTGGTAGTTTGGCGTCCAAATCGTACCTGTGATGGTTCTAACGTTTACATGGAATCTGAAGCCTTGCAGGGAGTGGACGAACGAATTGGTGGCTTTAGGCTTCGGCGTGCACTCGAGATGAAGAATCCAAGCCTGCTTTTTTCTCAGAATCCAGGCATCAAGCTAAAATGCCTGGAAGCCTTTGAAACACAGAGGGACGACAAATTATGAAAAAACAGTATGGGCAACTCAACACAGCCATGTCAGTTGACCACGCAGACGGCTTACAACGGTGTCACACAAGCGCGCAGTCCGACTAGAACCACAACTTAAATCTACACGATCCTGACGCCGTGAACTCAATCTCCTGACTCCTACACCGTAGGCAAGATCCAACCACTTCTCAGCAATGTAGGTCATGCCTTCTAGGAGTTCGGTTGACCATCTTGGGTTCGGAGATAGCATCGTTTATTGAACATCAAGATATGCAATTTCAAAGCAGAAAGTACGTTAAGCACATTGAGACAAGTATGGGCGCATTTTCCCGCTCCTGAGCATCACCGTCAGCGATGCCTCTGCACTCAGCAGTGTAGGCCACCTCTGTCCCATTGAAGAGCAGCCAGGAGCAATGCACGAGATGAAAACACACAGTGTTTAACTCAGAGAACTCAAAACAATTCCATTAGGAAATATTCCTGGAAATCAGTAGAAACTGACTGGTTTGAGGCAGATGCTTTACTCAAAGAGGTTTTCGCCTCAATGGGATTTTCGTGTGCTAACGGCCCACACACTGAATCCGACCGGACCTTTTTGCCGGGGGTCCTTCCCTAGAGACATGCCGCGAGCGAGTGGCCGCAGTCTTGTTGTGCCAGACTCGCGTTTGAGAAGCGCCACCCGCAAGGCGAACGGCCGATAGGGGAGCTCTCAGGTTGGTCAGATTGTGGAGCCGCAAAGAATTTTAAAAGTATCCTTACAGAAAAAGCCAAGGAAGGCACTCCGACTTCTTAGACCGTGCTCAAAGCAAAAACTGGAGACACCCTGATAAACAACCTTTAAACCCCTATAAAGACCGTTATCGCGAAAGCCACGTGTGGAAATGATAGATGATGGTGTGACAAGAGCAGTTGCACTCGCACTGCTTAACTCAGAAGTAGCAACTCCAAGCCTCCGAAACCATGTCAAAGGGGTAGTGCTTCAAAAGCGAGTCAATCTTCATAAGATGTCTTTTCGACTGGTATTTTACTATCAACCTATTAATGCAAGTGTATGAAACTCCCATATCAATCGCCACAAATCTCTGCCGGTTTGCGTCCTCGCTGGCGTTTTGCTGAGCCTCTTCGACGCTCGTGAACTCGTGCTTGCTCTGCTGTGGGAGCTTCACAAATCTCAGCCCAAGCATGAACCAAAATGGTTGATCATCCTTGATTGAAGCAGCCCTTGAGAAGTGACAACGAACCTGAAGAAACGGCCCATGCGTCCAGTTGCCCTTGGTCTTATCGCCGGAGACTCGCTGGTAGGTCACCCTGCAGGCCCGTAGACCGGGAGCTTCGCCGGGAAGTCAGAAAGTGCCTCAAGCAGATGCCCAGTGTAACAAAACTTGTTTGTCAAAGAATAAGACTATGGGTGCGGAGGGTTCTATCTTAGGAAAATATTGCATCTGTAACCGGCGGCTTGGAGGATCATGGGAAATTGCTCACATGTAAACTTGGGCCTCTGGCCACAATCGTCGCCTCTCGTGTTTGACTAACTAGCCGTTTAGTTTCAGGAGCTGTCGGTACATGCAAAGTATCGTCCTGAGATACACGAGTTTGTTCTCTCTGGGTGCGTCGAGAGCGTTCCATGCAGAGATCATGCTTCAGAGTCTCGTCTCGGTTTGCCACACCCGCTCATCCTAAAGCCTCACAGGGTTCAATACAATTCAATGGAACCTCCCGCAAGGGTGCACGGGGATTAGGGCTTGGCATGGGTGGCGCATGGGCCCTGAACCCCTAAAGCCCGGCCCCTCCCCCCTGTGGCTCTACAAGATGTAACGCAAAGCCTAGGAATGATAATTAAAAACACAAAGAAACCAGCACACCCCTAAACGCTTGAACCCAACACCTGTAAACACGAAGCTTCAAAACCCCGGTGCCCTCAAGACTTCGTTGCCAAAAGCTGTAAAGCCCTAGCCTGCTTGCATCGCCAGGGAAGCTCGTCTCCAAGCAGGATGGTCCAAGGTTCCGCCCTTGATTCTGAGCTCGTTCTGGGCTTTAGCTGGATTTTGCTTGCTTTCAATCGTCGGCTTGCGACAGGGAGTTTTCAGGACTTGGGGATTGAGGTTTAGGCGCTTTGGGAAGGATCTCATTCAAAGCGTCCAGCTTTGGGTCCCGTATTTCCATGACCCCGTGTCGAAACTCCGCAGATAAGGGGCGGCCGAGGTAGGTCCGGCAGGTGCGTCTAGGAACGGACTGACACTTTGGGGTCCGATGATAGAGTCCAGTGTCTCCTTGCAAAGGCATGGGTGCAGCAGAACCGATCCGAGAACTACATGTCCAAAGCGATGCCGTGCTTTCGGGCTGCTTTCGGGGTTCAGGCTTTAACGAGTGAGTTTCTTACAATTATTGTGTGTGTGCGCTTCAGGTCTTGGATCGAGGGAGTCGTGGACTGAGTTAGCAGGGTGTATCAGTATCACAATCCTGAGCAGTACTAGCCACAGGTTCAGGAATTTTGCCACTTATGGACTGGGGGAGCGAGTTGCTAGCATGGGTGCGCGCTCGAAACTGCGCACAGGAACGCAGAGGAAGCAGGGTAAGCGTCAAACACTCACTGAAGTCATGCCAACATTTTCTAGCTGTCTGGAATCAGCAACCGGCTGCATCCTGACTACTTCTCCTACTACTACTACTACTACTACTACTACTACTACTACTACTACTACTAACACCACCACCACTACTACTACTACTGCTACTACTACTACTACTACTACCACTACTACTACTACTACCACTACTACTACTACTACTACTACTACTACTACTACTACTACTACTACTACTACTACTACTACTACTACTACTACTACTACTACTACTACTACTCCTGCTACTACTCCTGCTGCACTACTACTACTACTACTACCACCACTGCTGCTACTACTACTGCTACTGTTGCCGTGGCGTAGCCGTTGTTGAATCGTACGTTTGCCATTATATTCTTGGTCACAAGAGCTATGGCACCATGGTTGTGACTGCACGATTAATTATCGTACCTACGCATAGCTCCTGGGTCATCATTTGGTCGTCCAACGCTTGGTTCTCTGTGGCAAGGGCAGCATCTCCTATTCGATTGCTGTGACTGCCGGGCTGAGGATCTTGTAACTGAGGACGTAAACCTGGCAGGATGACTTGCTAAACACCCAGAAACATCTTACCAACTCAGCTATGAAGGTGGCCCAGTCACACACCAACGGCAAGGCTGATGCGCATGGCACAACAGATGGCCTCCCCGAAACATCCACCATGGCCCACCCTCAAGTTCCCTATCTTCACACGCCCCAGGCTAAACACTTACATCTGAAGTCTACGAGCGGAATCTGCAACTCTACTTCCGGTCTTCCTTTGCAACGACGGCCGTGGATGTGCAGCTACCAAGCTTTCAGAAACCTTAGACATAGTGGATGAAGACTGTGAACTGCAATGAAGCTCTCGCGGTGTATGGTCTACTGCGAGGAAGTGGGAAGTGATACAGATACCAACCGTGGAGGCTCGTACACCAGGCACGTATTGAAGGCGAACGTACATGCTGCATGTAGGAGTACAGTGCCACATCTTGCACGTAACCTACCTCTTCTAGAACTCACTTCACTTGCGACCGACCTGCAGCTTTTTCTACCTGTACAATGTAGCATATGGAGAATATGCTGGGACCAGGGCATAGTATCATCGTA